CCATGAGATGCCTCAGCTCAAGTCTCTACCAACAAGAAGCTAACACCAGATGGAATCCCTCAGCTTTGGACCAGACCTGTGAACCCCTCAGGATCTCGTTTCTTTATAACTTAGTCTGTGACATTATGTTGTTAGTAACAGAAAATGGGCTAAATGGACTCTCTTTTTAAAGACTTCCTCCAGAAATAACAGGTCCTTCCCGTCCTTCCTCATATTCTATTGGTCAGACACCAGTACAGTGTACCCCTGTGAAGTCATGATTCAGAGTTCTTGACCTCAGTCCTTCAAGGACTTTTTCTTAGAACCTAATAATTGTTTGCAGAACCCCCTGCAATTTCAAAATCACTAATATCGTCCACAATTTTTTTTTGACTTGAGGTTTGCAAGTAGCCAATCCGAGAGTGTCATTGGTTCTCCTTGCTGCTGATTGGCTGCTGCCCTGTAAGCATCTCCCAGATTCACCAGCATTCCCGCATCATAACAGGGTGCTGTACCATGTATAGCTCTCTCTAGTGTTCACAGTTTTGTTCTTAAAGTCCTAAGACCCCCCAAAAAACCCTGCACCTTCTAAGGCTTTATTAATACAGTATTTTATTAAATTAAATTACATAATTGTGAGAGATGTAGTATATTTAGGGTTTAAACTATAAAAATAGGCATTTTTTCTGAACATATCTGAAATTTGCAGTTTTTCGCAGTTTGCAGGTGCACTAGGAACATAACCTCAGCAAATTTTGGGTGTCCACTGTACATGCCAAAGCTAACTTCAAGGAAGTCCGAGAATTGCAGTCCAGATGTGTGTGTAGCAGGCAAAGAAAATCAGTCTGGTGAACATGGAATGAGTCCCTCCCACACTTCTCTTGCTTTGGCAAATTTATTTTTGCTGCCTGTTGCAGTCTTTCTTCCTTGGATATGTTTCAACCTAGTTCTAGTTTCTCATTAAAGATGCATCACATTCTTTTTTCAAAGTGCTTGTGTTGTTTCAAAGAGAAGACAAGTCACTATTCTATTTTTAAACAGAAACTTGGACACCACTGATGGAGCTACCTGTTTATTTTTGGTAATCACACTCCAGGCTGCTGTAAATCCCCACAACTAAAATTATTTAGATTTTTTCTTGGCATCTAGGATCATTTCTCCAGGCAAGTAGATATAATTTGGTAATGTCAGTTATATTTAGAAAATGCCTTAGAAATAATTTTCTCTTCTTTGTATACAAACAAAAGCATTAAAAAATCCAAGGTCAAACACTAAATTCAATATTGTATGTTTTGGATGAAAACATTTTGCATTGCTAGCAAGAAAAAATCGCAAGTTATTGGTCTTTGAATGTATTCTTGATATTTTATGGAAGAACTTCCAGATAAAGCTCTTTGGGTGGTAATATCACCTCAACCAACTCATACCTGAGCTGGAGAACTCAGTGCTATCACTTCTTTGCTGGTTGAGTGAGTCAGAGACAGAGAGAGTGGGAAGATGTCAGTCAGCACCTATTTATCAAGCACTCTGTGGAGCACAGCAGTGGCTAGGAGACCGGAACACCGGCATCCTGTGATGACAGCTGCTATTAAGGATGGGATTAAGGGGATTTCAAGAGCCAGCAGTCTTTGGTGTACTTCATTTAAAACGTTTCATAGAAACATAATAGAAAGATTTTTGCATCAAATAAAGATTTTAGTTTTTTTATTCATTCAGCTTATCCTTATTTTTGTGAATTTCAAACAGTCCTTGATGCTGTTTTGAAAGACTTATGTCTAGATACAATACAGGGAGTCTAGAAGTACACTTTGTTTGACATACGTGAAATAACATAACTTAGGAGATACGAAAGCTATGAACTTCACACAAATAAATCAAAAAGTAAATGAGTTCTAATTGTAGAATTCCTTAAAAAGAGCTTCAGAAAGATAATGTTTTCATGATAGTTCCAGAGATGTTGAACTCTTTTTTAAAAGTTGAGTAATCATCATTTAACCAAATGTACTTAGTTTATATTAATAGACTCTTTTTTGTTGTGTGTATGTGTGTGCGTGTGTGTGTGTGCTGGGAACTAAACCTAGGGCCTTAAGCATGCTAGACAAGTGCTCACAGGAATCAAAGATGGGATTGGTTTAATTATTATGTAGATTACTTCTGAAACAATACCTTTGGATTTGCGTTTGTGTGGTACTGTGTTTTATGTCTTTACACATTGTTAAAGACTTTTAGCTTTGCTTCTTTTGCCTCTTGAGATACTGCATTGGCACTGGTGCCAAGTCCATAGGGTATTCATGTTGGTTTATTAAGTGACACAATTTCGCAAACCCTAGGTTACACGCTGTGCACCCTATGATCCATGGGGGTGCCCTCCCCATCTTTTTCTCCTCCTTCTTCACCTTTTCTATCTCCATTTCTAAACCCCATTTTTCTCCTTTTCTTTTTTTTAAAATTTTATTTTATTGGTACATTTTAGGTGTACAATATAATGACATTCATCATTGGAAATTTGCACCTTTACATAGTTTCTCTTGGTTCTTATTTTTCCCCCTTCCCCTGCCCTCCCTTCAACCCCTCCATTCCTCCCTATTTACAAAGACTTTGTTTCCATTTTTTCATTTTCCCATATTAATTCCATTCCCTTCTTTCCTTTTCCCTACCCCTCCCACTTTCCCTTCCCCTGTAGGGAAGAGGGAAAGGGGACGTTACTGGAACCTCTGCAGTGAGTCCTGGTCTCCTGCGAGCCACAGCAGTACACGGCGAATTACAGGAAAGGTAGACAAATGAGACTGAGAAGAAGCTGAGCTTTGGGTCTGATCAGTGATGCTCTGGGCGGCAAAGACGAAAGCCCCCAGTTTACCACACCTTTTATTCAGTACTCAGTACATCGGGAGAAACAAATGTAACAGATGACTTGCAGAGAGTTCAGTACATACTGCGTAAACAAGATGTAACAATCCAAGAACAAGGAGGAACTGAGTAGATGTTTGTTCCTTCCAGGATGTTTTCAGCTCCCAGGATGTTTCTTGTCCTGGAGAATCACAGCATCACCGGATCATTGAGGTCTTAGCTGTGACCGGAGGCCAAAATGGAATTATGTCTCGGAATTCCATAGCTGGGCTGTAGGCAGGAGAACTAGGCTAACCAAATGATTTTACCCCAAAATTATGTAGCATTGCTCCCAACATTCCCCTTTGCCCCTTTTCTTCCTATTTCACATTATCTAGTATACCTTTTAGTCCTTATTTACACTGTCAGTTTCTCACACTAGAGAAACTATTGGGTATTAGCACACGTGTGTCCTATTTATTTCAGTTAAGAGTATCGCCTCAATGTGCATCCACATAAATGTCTCTAATTTCTCCTTTTTTATGGCTGAGTAGTACTCCATTTTATAAAAAAAACACATTTTCTTTATCCAGTCTCCAGTTGATGGGCAATTGGGCTGCTTCCAAGTTTTAGCTATTACAAACTGTTCTGCTATGAACATGGGTGCATATATGTTACTATGGTATGATTCTTTTAATTCTTTGGGGAAGATACCCAGGAGGGGAATAGCTGGGTCAAATGGGACTTCCAGTCCTAGTTCTTTGAGGTATCTCCATACTGCTTTCCACAGTGGTTGCACCAGTCTACACTCCCACCAGCAGTGGAGCAAGGTTCCTCTTTCCCCACAGCCCCACCAGCATTTGTTATTGGTTGATTTCTTGAGAGCAGCCATTCTTTCTGGGGTGAGGTGGAATCTCAGTGTTGTTTTCATTTGGATTTCTGGAATGACCAGTGATGTTGAACAATTTTTCATGTGTTTGCTTGCTATTTCTACTTCTTTGTCTGAGAAATGTATGTTCATTTCAGATGCCCATCTTTGGATTGGGTCTTTAAAGTTGGGAGGTCTGATTCTTTTAAGTTCTTTATAGATTCTAGATAGTAGACCTTTGTCTGAAGGACCACTGGTGAAAATTTTTTCCCACATTGTGGGTTGTCTCTTCACACTGCTGGTCGTTTCTCTTGCTGGAAATTCATTCTCAAGGACATTTTCAGCTTCTAGCATTTGCGTATGATTGCAAAATATTGATTCATGTATGATTGCATAATATTATGAAACATTAACCAAAGTTTTCTTTCCCCAGTATTTCCTTTCTTTTGCTTTGTACTTCTGTTAAGTACTTGCTAGTGGTTCAACTGACTGTGAATTAAAGTCATCTGGGAAACGTTTGCAAGCTAACCCTGTCTGGGCCTCACCCCTGGATCTAATAAATTAGTGCCTTCTGGGGGCTGGGCTGAGCTTCTTGTTTTCAGGGGATTCTCATGCAAGGGATTAAAAAGTCAAGATGAAAAATGAAGCATATTCTTGGTGTTTGTATTTGAACAGACTAGCAGGGGAGTGGAAAGGACACTGACAGGAGACCTGCAGAAAACAGCAGGAGGAACCGCAAGACTTCTTCCCTTCGGAAAGGAAAAGATTCCTCAGGCAACTGGGGAGCCCAGAGGATAGAAGGGAAAGCAGAAGGGAAATGACAAGATGTGCTTATTCTGCGGTCTTGGAGACCTTGCAGTCCAGAGGGACAGACCTATCCCAGATGAATGACTCGGGGGCTCTGGATGTGTCGACAGATGCCTAACGAGGGAAAGTGGATGCTGTCTCCCTCCCTGATCTCAGGCTTGTGGCACAACATGGACTTCCTAGAACTTTGATGGATGCTTAGGAAGACATTTTGGTGGAGGGGAGGAAAGGCTCAAAATAGAAATTAGGCTGAATTACAACAACAACAAAAAGAATACTATGTAGCCTCCACATGCCCTTCTGACACGCACATACACTACATTTGGATCTGTCTTTTTGCAGAAAGAGTAATGAGAAAGTCTCTCCTCTGTAGACCTGTTGCTTCTGCTTAGTACCAGTGGATTTGTCACCGGCCACTTGGTAACTGAGTGTCTTATGTTTTTAATAGAGGCCTGAGTGCTTGTAGATGTTTTGGAAGGTTGAACTAATCACCACTCTAATATGAGTGTATATCACTAAAATGACCATATGCTGTTTTATAACATTATAAAATAATTTTAGGTTTAGGATTCCACAATCACATTCATTTTTAGAAGCAATTTAATGAACCGAGTAATTAAAAATTATTTACATTTATGTATTAGATAGTACATTTGCATTGTTTTAATCCAAGAAAAAAAGGATTAAATAGTAAAATCTTATTTCCCTGGTCCCCAGCTCCCTTCAAACACAACCACTGCCCTCAATTTCTAATGTGTCCTTCAAAAATAGGGAATGCACAGGGAAGCAAATGTGTGGGCATTCTCTTATTTATTTTCCTTTTCTTTAAATGGAAGTTAAAGTAAATTGATCTAGATCTCGGTTTCTTATCAGGACACGAGGGCTCCTTCATTCTTTTTCATGGCTGCACGGTATGTCATTGAATGCTGGCCTTAGGATTTTGAAAATAAGCCCTTATTAACTGGTAGCTATAGATTGCTTTCATTCATTAAAAAAATGATTGAAGAACTATCATCTGCTGGAGAGTTTCAACTCCTACTCCTCTAGAATGACCAATTTGAAAACCATGGAAATGTATGGGGTTTAATTGCTATGATCTTATCAGCATTTCAGTTCATTTAGAAAGGATTTTAATTTTACACATTAAAAGATACCATCACTAAATTATTAGATTTAGTCTCTCTAGGCGTTTAATGGCTTTTTTCCTCCTTGATAATCCTATAAAGTTTTTATGTTGCCAATCCATTTTTATTGGTCCTGGATGAGGTCTTTTTAGTGTAATTGATAGTATACATCAATATGGTAGCGCCCTGTTCTACTACACCAAAGTATAAAGAAGCAGCATTAACTTAGCATTGACTTAGAAATAGTTTTAACAAGTCATTTTCCTTTTAAAAGCCCTTGTTCGGCTGAAATGACTTGTTTCAAGACCTTGAAAAAGCCTGGCTAAAAGGCTCACCTTCTCTTGCAGGAGAAACACATCATGCTTTCCATTATTTGTAATTTTTATATGAATAAATCCAACCCATCAGCTTCTTCAGGTGTTGAGATTTAAGCCATATCTAGGTGAAATTGATGATGCCTTCTGAAATGTAAGGCATTTTCTATGATCGGCTGTGTTTTAGGTTTTCACATTGGCATAAATAGATGTGGAATTGCAGAATCTTACTGAAAAGCACGAGAAGGTTATATAATCTGTGATATGACACAGGGGTGTTCTTTCCTGACCCATAGCTCCCTGCAGTCAGCAGATTTCTGGAGAAAGGAAATCACCACCCTGCTAGGCCAATCATTCCATCTTGAAAAGAGTTTTCAAACTTTTATGCTTAAATAGAAGTATCTCCTTTTTAAGTTCTAGTCTACCAGCTCTTTGGGTGACCATGGGTTAAGCTAAAGGCAAATGAGATGGGGCTCCAGGGAGATTAACTGCGAGGTCTCACTCTCTGATAAGACCTGTTTCTTTAGCCTTGAGTCCCATTCTGTGACTCAATAACTACCCTAACCCTAAAAATGCTTTTCCAGTTGACCACGTCAGGAGACCTCTGATCTGTATCATAGAGACCAGACTTGTGGCCTTGACCTTAATCTGATGCTGTATTTAAAACTGCTTCTTTCTCCTCATTGGGCCTTAGCTCACAGATCTCCTATGATGGTGGGCATGAATGAATGACAGTTTTCTGTAGCCTTCCCCTACTGAATTAAAAAATGCTGATGGACCTTAACCCTAACTGGATGGCACTCGAGGCCGTGAGATTTAGTGCCAGCAAAGGCTGACATGTCTAGTGGCACAACAGTACCAGGTTTTCTCAGCTTGACCCTTAGGCCACTTCAGTCTGCACATGTGTCGCAAACTATGTTTTAACATAACTAGAAAGTGAACATTTTTAACAAAAAATGTGGCTTTCAACTTCACTGCCTGCCCTACCTCTTCCTAGTCTGGTCTTCTTCCTCCCTGATCCGCACCTTAGTGTCCCTTAAGACTCACTGCATGTTTAGAAAAAGTGTAACTCGCTGCCAGGGTTCATTTAATTTCCCATATAACACCCTGTGAGGGAGAAACAAAGAAGATTGGTTTTCACGATGAAATGAAACACAAATACTGTTCTTGGAGCTATTTCTAAACAGAACTTGCCTCTAATTCCAGTATACCAAAAATGTATGTGATGGTCAGTATTTAATAATTTTTCTGCATGTGGTAAATTTCAAAGCACAGAACAACACAAAGCTAAACATTATCTTTTGCACAGAAGAGTGCATTTCTCTCCACGTTTTCCTGCAGTACATGTTACTGTGCCAGCAAGAGATGTTGGAGTGACCAAACTTTGCAGAGTGATGTGAAAATAATAAAAGTGAGATATTTTGTGGCAAACTTTAAAGGTAAGTTTGGGGCTATAATCTGTGAGTTCTCTTGGGATAAATGCTGTAGCTGCAAGCACCACTGGCAGTACAAACAGGCAGAGAGTTTTAATAATCTCTGAAGGCCTTTCAGTTTGAGATGCCAAGTATACTGTCAACCCTGTTGCCGTATCTCTGAATCCTTGGCATGTCTGCTTACAGATATCGATATCACTCGCGTATACAGATTTTTAAAACTTGTTGACAGAGTGATATTAAGCTGCACATCACTACAAAGCCTGGCCTCCTAAATAATAGCAACTGTTGATCTTAACTTGGGGTTGGCATGAGAGCAAAGCTGTGCCGTAGATCAACAATTGACTTTCAAGCTTTGGAGAAATGGTTCGGTCTCGGGATGAGGTCTTCTCCCTCTGAACTTTGTAAACATTTATTCCCTCATTTTTGCTCTCATCTTTAGGGAAAATAAATGGTATAAATAAAAATTGTATTTGCAAAAGTGTTTGTGTCATAAGCTTGGTATTCAGCACGAGCAACATGGCCATTGCATGTCTCTGTGGACAAGGCAGAAAGGAGCTAAACTCTGGGCATTTTTTAGGCACTGAGGTCGGTGTGCAGACAGAGGCCAATTAGCAAAGCTTCTCAAAGAGTTCTGAAAACCAGTCAGAGCTGTGCTTGCCTAGGGGCTGAGCAACCGGAGAGGACACACAGAGGTTTCTTGTGGCTTGAATTCCTTCCTTGGGTAGAGATTGTCTGGAGACATTGCCTCTCTACCTCCAACTGATCCTGAGGCTCAGACAAAAGGTAAGGAAGCAGCAAAGATGGTAGATGGAATTGAAAAACACAGCAGGTATTCTTAGAAATTCTCAGGAAAACTCATTCAGCACTTCAAAATGATTTTCAAAGAAGAAAAAAGAGACACAGAGACAGGCTAGTGAAGGAAGAGGAAAGTACCCGGAAAAGCAAATGAGATGCCAGTACTATCTTATGACATATATGAGGATTCACCACGTATTGGCTGTGGATGAAGGAAAGCCTTTTCTAACTTTTAGAGTCAAGTACTATGTGGTTTTACTATTTTACAGTTACATATCATATAAAAGACTGTATTTTTTTACTTACTACTTTCTTGAAAACTGTCTAGGAAACACAGGTATAGAAGTGATTATATTCCTTAATAGAAGGGGAGGACTGAAGATTTCCTTATGGTTCATTGTGGCAGAAGACTGGCTTAGAATAAGGCTTTTGTATCAGTCAGTTTTTTATCGCTGTGATCAAAGACCTTATATACAAACATAAAGGAGAAAAAGTTTGTTTCAGCTCATGATTTCAGAGATTTCAGTCCATGGTTGGCTGGCTCCCAAGGCAGAAACATCATGGTAGAAGGGCACGGCTGAGGAAGGCTGCTCACTTCATGGTGGCCAAGAAATAGGGAGAGCAAGGAGAAAGCAGAGAGAGAAGAAGGGGCCAGAGACAAGAATATACCCTTCCAGGTTACACCCCAGTGACCCACTTCCTCCAGCCAGTTCCCACCTGCTAACAGCCCATTCAGTTAATGAACTCACCAATAGTCAATCCGTTGATGAAATCAGTGCCCTAATGACCAGTCATCTCTCTAATCCCCACTTCTGAACATGGCTTTGTTGGAGATCAGCCTTCCAAACATGCGTCTTCAGGGGACATTTCATACTTCATCCATCACAGTTTCCAGAGCCATTTTAGGACTCCTTGTTCCTGAAGTAGTGTCAGTGTAGTCTCATGTGTGGGCTAGTCACTGAATGACAGGCTCACTATTCACATCTGGTTTTATCAGTTTGCATTCCAGTTATGGGACACCAAGGAAGGGGGCAGAATGCTTGGCCCAATCTGTCTCTGAGGAAAGCACTCACTAGCTAAGTGCCTAACAGGTTCTGTGGGCATGAGCTTTTCCCTTTCCCTGATTTTATTAAGGGCCTTGGAGTGAATGTGCTGTTTGCTCTTATGTGGAAACAGCAGGTCACCCAGAGTTATATTTTATCCAATGTTGCTTTTCTCTAAGGGCAACGTTACCTATTAACAACATTCTCTTCACTCAGATCTTTGCTGTGTGTTGTGAAATGTGGACATGTAAGAGGTCTGAAAATTTTTTTTAAAGCCATAGTAGGGAAAGCTCTTTCTTTGTGGAGGTGGGATTGGAGGGGATGGCAAGGAATCTATGTGTGTGATTTCTCCATATCCTGTTAGTGTATATACATCAACATGTAGTTCTAATTTATTGTTATTTATTTATTTTTATTCCTTAAATTCTTTTATTGGTACATTTTAGGTATACAATACATTTACATTTCTCATTGGGAATTGTACCTTTACATGATGTATCTTGGTTCTTATTTTTTCCCCATTCCCAGCCCTCCCTTCACCCCC